ATATATATATATATATATATATATATATATATATATTTGTGGAGTAAAATTAAAAAAAATATAAAATATAACTTCAAAATTATTGTATAAAACTCAAAATTTATTTTTATTTGTATTTAAAAAGTTTAAAGAACTATTAAATAAGAATAGAGGCAGTAGAATTATTATAATTAATTTATCTGTAAAAGCATACTTCTCTAAAAATAAAAAAGCTAAATTTGAATAAATTAAAATATAATTTTAATCATTATACTTTGTCATTTCCTAAAGTCTTTCTTTTATAAAGTCAGAAGGAACATTCAGATCATTGACGTCACGAATTCAAAGGAAACTCATCACTCATGAGATAAAAATTTTCAACAAATAATTAGATGAATATGATAATATAAGTTATTTAATTGATGTAACTAAAATAAAACAATTTTCAAACTTCAAAAACTTAAAAGGATATTTTTCAAACTTGTGAAATGATTAAACTCTCTACCTTAATTATGTTCCAACTCTAATAATAGATTTTCCTTGTGTCAACTTTTATTTTTATGATACTTTCAGTAATCCTTAATTGAACCCACCGAATGAGATTCTTGGCTTCATGTCAAAAGTTATGTGCTACAATTTGATTAAATGTATTCGGTAATAAAGTATATTTGATAAGTTTATCATAAATATTTCTAGGAGAGAGAAATTAAAAATTAAAAAAATAATTTATTTATATGTGTGTGTATTCGGTATTAAAAGTATATTTGGATAAATTTATCATAAATATTTCTAGGAGAGAGAAATTTAAAATTAAAATAAAATAATTTATTTAAAAGACAAAATTCTATGTGTGTGAATAAGTTAACAATGATATTTAAAAGGTAATAAAATTGTGTGAGTGGATAAGTTAACAATATGATATTCAAAAAATAATTTTTTAAGAAATATATTAGATTGAGATTTCAAAAGATTTTAAAATATTTGTTTTTATAAAAAAAGTCTTATAATATTTAATTAATATTTTTTAATATAAAAAATTATGTGTATTCAATTAAGACAATTGAAATTTTTAAGGAATATATCAAAATTTAGTAGTATTCAACTAATACAATGAAGAATTTTTTTAGGAATATAACAAAATATGGTTGTAATAAAATAAGATTTTTTTCACTTAAAAAAAGTATATTAATATTAAAAAACATAGAAATTGTAATAGATTATTTTGATGGATATATTTCATAAGACTTTTTAATATAATTTATATATAATTCATTTATCCAATAATGTTGCTAAAATTATTGAGAGTTTGCATTTTTTTTTTCTTGTGTATTTCTCCTTTTCTCTCTCTCTCTCTCCTATTTTGTTTCTCTCTTTTCTCTTTTCTCTTCTCATGCCATTTCTATCTCATGTTCTCTTTCTCCTTTTGTGCATCTCTCTCATTTATTTGATTTTCTACTTTTTTTCTCTCTATTTATTTTTCTATTTTTTTTATCTATCAATATTTTTGTGTTACATTTTTATCTATCATTATTGATGTATAATTTATTAATATTTTTTTAATTATTAAATATTTAAAATTATTTTTGAATTATTAAATACTATATATTGTTAAATTTTCAAGTTACTAAAATTTAACAAATTTTTATTTTCAATAAAATTTAATATTAAAATATCAATTTTTTAAAAAATTTACTAAAATATATTTTGACAATTCTATCAATTAATGAATATCATAAATTTGAACATATTGCTCAAATTTAATAATATGAATGAAAAAATATAAAATGCATATATAGAGGTGTATGTAGAGAAATATTATTTAAGAAAATATAAAATTATATTCAAATTTTTATTAATTTTTTTTAAAAAAATTTATTTTATTTTCTTTATTCAAACCTTGTCATTTCTTTATGTAGAGAAATTATATTTTTTTTTTAAAAAAATTCATACTATCCTTTGAAATGTAATAAAATCATTTTAAATCTTATAAATTCTTAAGATACAAATCCATTAAAATTCATATTACAAAATCTTGATTAAAAAAATCTTTTAAAAAATTTTAAAAGTCATTAGATTCCTAAAAAATCTTTTTAAAAAATCTTAAAAGTCATTAAATTTCTACAAAATCTTTTAAAATTTACAAGACTTATAAATTTACAAGTCTTAAGAGGACATGAAACTAGAGTCAATTTTTTTTATTAAAAGGTTAAACAAATTTGATTTTATTTTCTTTATTCAAATTTTTTCATTTCTATATGTAGAAAGATTATATTTTTTTTTCTCTAAATTCATATTACTCTTTGAAATCTAATAAAATTCTTTCAAATTTTATAAATTCTTAAGATACAAATCTATTAAAATCCATATTACAAAATATTGATTAAAAAATATTTTTAAAAAAATTTAAAAAGTGATTACATTGCTACAAATTCTTTAAAAAAATCTTAAATTCATTAAATTTATACAGATTTTTTTAACATTTACAAAAGAAAAAAAAATTATGCTAAAAAAGTCTTATAAAATCTCAATCCAATACAACTCCTTTAAAAAATTAATAATTTTTTTCATATTTTATAAATCAATTTGTGATTTAACTTATGCTTTTTTTTTCTCCTATAGATGCTTCTAAACAAATTTATCCAACCATGCTTTGAATTTATAAGAGTATATTATATTCTCAACTTTTCAGACATAAGTATTATATGGTTATATTTTCTTATATAATTTCATTTGTTTAACTTAATATTATCATGTAAAAAATGTAAATATTGAATTATATAAATATATATTAAAATATATAGTTTAGTCCATTTATCTAAATATTTTTAAAGAATATCTTTTAAAATACTTTAAAATAAAATTTTTATTCATTAAAAAATATGATAAAATATTTCTAAATTACCAAATTATTCTTCACTCATTTGATGCCCTAACATTTTTTTACACATCAACGTTGCTATATGTCACAAAATATATTATAAAAATAAAATAAAATAATAATATATTTTTCCAAAAAAAGCACAAATATATATTATTAACAAATGATTTTCTAGTAGTTAAAATATATGAATGACTATTTTGAACATGAGTATTTTTAGGAGTTTTTCTTCAAAGATAAGTTTTTTAAGATTATTTAATTTAATTTTTTTATTTATTATAATTATTTAAGAATTAAATTTTAATATATTAAAACTAAATTATCAATAAATAAATTTAATCTACAATTATAATATAAATTATTTATCATAAATTTAAAATATAAGTTATATATTTAAATATATTTATATAAATTTTAAATATAATTTATATATCCAAATATAATATTTCTTTGCATATAATTTATTATAAATTTTAGTTATATATAATACAATAAAAATTTAGTTTGTGTATTTTCATCTCTAAAAGAAGAAAACTATATATTTTAAAATAAAAATGAGAAAAGTGTAATTACACTGGATGACCTATAGACAACCGAAAATTGGTGTTGTTGGTTGCTTTTGGCGTCCTTAGTTACCTACATCCTTAGGCCCTTAGGCAGCCTAGGGTGTGTCAAACGACTGTTTAATACATGTAAAGGTTAAACAAAGTAACTAAGTCTAACTACCATAGATAATAAATAAATAAATAAATAACCAAGGTACAGAAATATTTCATGAGAGTGCAAAAGATATCTTAGTCATGAAATTATATATAAAAAAAAACATATTGTTTCATTATTACTAACCAAGGTTTAGAAGTTCTATGATTGGTTTGGGCATAGGGGTATTTGGAAGCATCCTTTCCCAGTAAACTTGTGGAGGTATGGCAGCTTGAGCTGTCATCAGTATCAGCTGCATATTCAACATTCATCACTCTCGGGAACATGTTAAAATAAAGATGACCAAAATATGTAGCTCTACAGTTTCCAAAATAAAAATGAGATGAAATAATATAAAAGATAAAGCTCACATTGAGAGAACAAAGCAATGGAAGCCAACGAAGTTCCATAGTTGAAGCAAAGTGGTTAGAGATCTATGAGAAGGTGATATGATACGGAGACACAGACAAACCCAAAATATATAGAGAGCTCCAGAGGAACAGTGACATGGCGTGTTGCTCGAGCGTCAATATTTAAATAGGTAACCCAGATTTTGTAGCAACTCTCAGATTTTGTTATGCATAATAATATACAGAAAAAAAAATATATTTGAGACTTGAGAGAAATAGGAAGAGATAAATGATTGTTTTTTTATTTATTAATATTAAGATTTTGTTATTACTGTATATGTCAACGTCAAAGAGCAACCAATAATGAGAGATTTTAATAGAATATTCTATTTATTTGGGTGTCCAAGAATTATATCCTAATATATAAAGAAATAATTTGAGGGAAATAAAATGATACTTGAGAAAAATAATGTTTCATCGAAAATAATTATTATAGTAATTAAACATTATGAGATTTAAATAAATTATAAACATGTAAATTTATTTATGTGGAGTAGTTTTAACTTATTTCAAATTCCTAGATATAACTTAATGGTTAGATGGGGATGAATTGTGATAATTAGAAGTATAGAGACATAAGTTAAATCTTTATTATGATTATTTTTATAATTTTTTTCATCTTTGCTAAAACAAATTACTCTTTTACATTAAATAAATATAATTTTTTTCTGCTGATTCAAAATTTAACAATTTAAAAAATAAAATTTAACTAATATAACTTGTTTATCTCATTGTTATACCAACACATACTTTAGTATCTGTTAATTTTTTTAAAATAATTAATTTAAAAGAAAAAAAAATACCAAACGCATACTATGACTGTGTTGTTAAACTTCTCACATTCATCTTCTCAATCTCTTTCACCGCTCTTACAATATATTATTAGTTAAAATGAATTTTACAATGAGATTTTAAAAATTAATAATAATATCTTTAATAAAAGAATATTTTTTTTAAAAAATAATTATATTTATATATTTTTTAAAAATAGACTTTTTAAAATGAATTTTAAGAATATAAAAGTGACTTTTAAATTATAAAATCTTGAAAAAATTATATAAATATAAATATAAAATATTTATTTTTGAAGAATACCTAAAACCTGATGTTAATCTCGTCCTTGGACCGATTAGGTAACGAAAGTAATTAAGAACGGAAGGGTTTAGTGATGATACTATTGTTGAAAGCAAATTTTTCATTTTTATTTCTTTATTACATTTCCTATTCTACTCTGACGGCATCTATTTCTTCTCCTTCTATTTTTCTGTTTTATTGCTTTTCATTCATATATTTTTTTCTCTATGGTTTTTGGGAAAGATTTTAGGTGACTAGAGCTTTTGATGGCAACAACTTTGGTTTAATACACGTTGGGTTGTATCGTTGACATTTTGGTTTTTGCTTGATGATAGGTGGTTTCAAATTCGTATTGGATGAAAATTTTGTTTAACCGGTTTATTAACTTTTTTTTTTTTTTTACATTCTAAGTTTTTTAAAATTATTAAAAAATATTTTGATTAATTAAAGGATTTTTTAAAATATTTTAAAGATTTTTAATAATTACAAATATTTTAATTAATGAAAATTGTTTTGTATAATATTTATTAGAGAAATGTGTATTTTTATGATATTTTGTTATAATAGGCATTTAGAGAAAAATATGTGTTTTTTTTTATTATGATTTTTTAATGTTTATACATTTTATTATAATTATTTAGGTTGGGAAAATATATTTATTTAATATATTATTTATTTATAATTTTTAATATTTAAAGGAAAGGAAAAAAGAAATATGGTTAAAGTATTTTTATCGAAGGGTTAAATTTTAAAAAGGAGGTTATGACAGTTCTTTTATTACACTTCTCATTTTTCATATTATACATATGGTCCAAAGAATGGGAAGAAGAATGAGAGCTGGTAGGAGAACATACAAGAGATTTATGTCTTTTATCAAGTGTTCGTCAAGGTGTGAGGGAGTGAGTAATCTTGCTCTATGCGTGAGATAATTATTGGGTAGTGAGATTGGTTCCTAATTTCTTTTTTGTTGTATGCATTATATGAAGGAAAAATTCAATTTGTATTTGTTTAGGGTTTAGGGTTTAATTCTATATGATTCTTCATTATTCTAATTCATGATATTTATGTTTAATTATGTGTATTGAATTAATCTTGTGGGTCTTGAATTAATGCATTTTTGGTGATTATATGAGAAGTTAAATGAGAGTGTAATTATGTGCATTATATGTGATGTTTGAATTATATATATAATTAATTTCATGTAATTTGAATTGTTTGAGAATCTATGAGTATTTGTAGTTCTTGTAAGAAACCCTCGTTTATAGAGCAAAGTGAATATTGATGTTAATTGTATGAATATGTGAGGTTGAATTTGAGTAATTGAGAGTATAATAGAGTAGTATTAAACTTTAATCTATGTTTTTACCTATTGGAATGAGAGAAGGGAGTTTGGGTGTGATTTGTGTCTTGTTTTGAAAATTCTAGTATAAATATGCTTTAATGTTTATGTGATTTTCTCTATGTATGATTAATAAAATTGAGTTTGAATTGTTGGGTTAGAAATTAGACATTTGAGGCTATAGTTTATACTCAATAATCACATAAAAATGTTAAGGAATAATCGAATTATGTGAATTAAAAGATGAACCTCATATTTTGTGCACGAAATGTAACATGCGTACGTTGTATACCTTTCGAGTAAACTTAAATGAAAAATTTAGGTTTCGTAATCTACATGAAAGTTGTAGCCCTGGATGTTAACTTTTAAATGTCATTGAAATCACTTAAAAAAAAGGTTTATATAACTCGAGTTATGGTTAAATTAGTAAGTGAAGGTCAAACTGTCATATTTAAGTTGAAATGTTGCGATTTTGTATTTTTAGAAAATAGTACATGATAGAATTAAATCTTAGGGTCAACATAAAAGTTGTAAAAATAAATTGCCTTATCTTTCTATGAAAATTAATATCAACTTGATATCATAGGTATAACTCTAGATAAGGTGTTTGGACAACATGATACCTTAGAAGACTAAGTTATGAAATTATAGTTTATGAATGATGATAATGAATAGCTTTACCCTTTAGGTGTTTGATCTTATGAATAGTTTGAGGTACCTATAACCATATTTAGGAAAGAGAAATCATAAGAGAGAACAATTGTGAATAAGTTATAATGTGAGTTGATAGTTAATGACTTGAGGTGTATTGGGCTAAAGTGTGTAAATATGTGTTTAAAATATGAACATGTGACTCTTGTGTGATACAATGTGTTGTTTGTTGGTTATCTTGTCCAAGGAATAATTCTTGTACTAATTGATGGATATAATTGAATATGAAATTGTGAAGTTATGAGAATTGAATGCTCTAAATGAAATGTGTGTGACAAAGCATTTAACAGTAAATTGTTTGAGTATATACAATGATATCTTGATAAAGTGAATGAGGTTTTGCCTTAGTATATTGATGAGACCATTATGACAAGTAAATTGACATACATTTATGATGTGTATTGTTAATATGATAATACATACGCATAATTGAGATTTAGCCTTCGAGTAGCGGCCTTCAGACAATAATTGATAGTTGTTAACCTTTAGATAGTGGCCTTCAGGCAACAGTTGATGGTTGTGAGCTTTTGGGCGATGGCCTTCAGGCAACAATTGATAGTTGTGAACCTTCAAGTAATAGTTGACAATTATGAGCCTTTGAGCGATGGTTTTTGGGCAACTATTGACAATTGGTTTTAGTGGCACCACATGCATATGCAGTTTGAGGTCCGTGTCCATAGCATTATATGTATATGTATACAAGTGAATTTATGTGATGACTTGTATTGGTCATATGATTTAAGTATTATTAGTCGAATTCTATTTTATTGTATCAATATATCTGTCAGTAGTCTGTTATGATTTAATTTTTTTCCTTTTTGCTTGTGTTTGGCTATCTAGCTATAATCTATGCCATCTGTAATGACCCGTCATGGTCCCTATACTGTATGGCACAACAATTGTCTTAAAATCATATATCGGAATAAGTATAATATCTTATACAGTAGTCTTGAATATATAAATATAAATATATACAACTATGTTGTCAAGCAAGCAACTATAACTATTTACACAAAAATCCACCTCTAATAGGTAGTCAACAAAACATCCAACTCCAAATGTCACTGTGTGACCTCCACTATGCTTACTTCAACCCTATTCTTGTCCTGCTCTCATACCACATATGATCATCGTAGTCCAAACCACATGAAAACATGCAAGGATAAGCTAGGAAAAATAAACAACACACACACACACATATATATATATACATATATACACACACACAACATTGAAACATCACATCATCATCTCATCTTTAACAACACAACAACAAAGCATCATAGTATACAACATAGTTCAACACAATCCAACTTTGATTCATTATAGCAACACATTTCATCGCAGTTCAACACAACATATGAATAACACAATTAACTCAACACATCATATACTCAACGCAGGAACTATATGCGTCATCGCACATTTCAACTAGGAGATCTCCTACAACACAGGATGAGTAGTTTAAATGACTTGATCCTACCAAATCGACAACACAGGGTGATCTTTTTGGGCTTGCTAGATCAACAACGAATTGGATATAAATCTCTAACACGACAACTCAGTTTCTCGGATGTCACTACTTAAACAAGGAAGTATAGTACTAATGTCAGGATAGAACACCTGGGTACGAGCCTACACTATGGCCGCTTTATACACATGTGCCTCAACCTTACCCACACACGGTATCAACAAAGTCCTAGAGGAGAGACAACACAATATCCACTTCAAAGGTCAACTTCCCAAGAAGGATTTTCAAAAAGTTGGGCTCTCAAAGCACCACAACACAATATCCACAAAATGAGATATGCAACTTTCAAAAATATCTCCTCTAGTCCTAAGTGGTCAACACAGATCAACAACACAACAACTCATTATAATTTTCAACATAACGACTCAATCAACACACAACTTTTCAACTCATATCACCATCATCACAATTTATTT